CCACACTGCTATCTACTGATATGAAAGCATCATCTGTTTACAAACCCTTACTAGAACCAGTTATTCTATAGTGGAAAGTCTTAATCCTCATCCCGATAGTCTAAAAAATATTAAAATAATAAATTAAATTCAAATATAGTTGGGTATTTTTATTGTCATCCTCTGAGGGGTTTGTGCATGGATTTTATGCCCAAATGAGCGTGCCAGGGGGGATTGGAACTAGGTGATCGTGAAGGTCCTTTCCAACCTAAACCATTCTATGATTTCTGTGCCAGGGATGAGTGACTGCTCTTCAGGGTTTGAAGTGACCCCTGGAACACAGGCTACCTTCTTTGCCAGGTAGGAACATTTTTGCATGCTCCCTATTACTAAAGCTCCCCAGCCTGTGGCAGGTTTGAGGAGCTTCACCTTGTTTGAACTTCGTCACAGCAGAACTGCTCAAAGCCACACGAGGAGGCAGTGCCAGTGTAGCTATTCCCTTGCTGTTTCCACAATCCTTTCTCTGCCGGTCTGCTGGATGCCCTTCTGCCCTCATCCCTCCTCATTATCTGGGAGCCCTGACCTTCAGCTGCTTGCCCCACTTCGAAGCACTATTTTGTGCCTGCTGGCTAAAACGTGTCCCAGTTTTGGCTCAAATGCAGGATTCCGGCTGCAGAGAAACGCTGCTGCTTTTTCCTGAACGTCCAAAATGGATTTTGAAACAATCTGCCCACATGCTATAAGCCACACATTGGAACTTCAGCCTTCAGGAAAGGACAAGATGGTAGAAGTCACTTTACACCCATTTTTAAAGCTGCTGCTTCTAATCTGCAGTACTGGCTTGTATTTTAGTAAAAAGTAGTGTTAGAGACAGCAAGTTATGAGAGAGAGTGCTTAGCTTAGAAATCCAGAATTTATTTACAAGTTTTTACTAAAAAAAAAAAAAAATAGGCAACAGAAAACTCTCCTCCTGGATGTACTCTACTCTGCAAAACACTGCAAATGAAGATCATTAAATTCATTTACACATTTTACAGATTTATCTTTGTGTGCGCTCTGGGCATAAAGCCCTCAGAAGAAGAGATAATAAACTAAACTGTTTCAAAGTAATGAAAGATTTCCTTTGGCCTTCCTCACTTTAAAAATAAGGTAAAACACTGTAGCAGAGGAATACATGTAAGATGTCTAACTTTTCTAAGGTGAAGATGGGCCTCCTTCAGTTCAGACTTGCTACATAATGCCAGACCTAACCGAGCAGCCTTAAATGAGATCTCTACCAAAGCAATTAGCCACGTTCTCTGTGACAGAACTGCAACCACATACCCATAAATCCAATTTCAAAGTCGTTAATTTAACAAAGGAGATGCAGAGTGGGGGAAGAAGCAGCAGTAACAGAAGAGGCTGCAGATCTGGAGTGTTTTAACAAAGAACTGTATTTGGAAAGGGCACAGTATTCCCCTCCTGGAGTGTTGCCCAAGAAGCTCAGAATACAAACGGTTCCCTGCTTCCAACACACTGGCCACCACACTGAAATTTAACACAAATTTTAAAAAGTATCATAATCCTTGACAGAAGAGTAAGAAACACTAATCACTGTTAGTCTAAATTAAACACAGACTTGCCCAACTTTAGGTACAAGGGTTTGTTTTTTTGATTTTGCATAGCAACTGCACCTATTTTCAGCTCAGTTCACCAACACTATGGATTTGAATAGGCTATAAAACATCAACAGAAAAATCCTGGTCTCAGTCAAGCCACAAAAATTAAACTTCTAATGTAAGGTGAATCAAGACATTACCCAGATAGTTTTATCCCCCTCAATATTTGATCGTTTATGACATGTTTTCATGAGCCTGATTCTATTCTCTTAAATAGCATCACGGTAGCAACTGGAATTAAAAAAAAAAAAAAAGCCATTGTTTTCCTTAATTTGACAATAAATTGGGAATCATACTGAAGGAAACTCATCCCTGAGTAGCAAGACATTTAAAAACAACATCCTATCCACAGGCATTGCCATGGTGATGAGGTGTGCTCTAACAGGCAGCCACAGAACTGGTCTCAGTCCAACATATTCACAGCGTTGTTGCATTGATCCCACCATCTCCTTTAATGAAACTGCAAGTGAACGTGAGGAAATAGGATAAATAGAAATAGTGTCTTTATTATTTTGAGTGTCAGATTGACAGGTAAACCATGCTGGATCCCCAAAAACTCAGAGCAGTGATGATTAGCCACTTGGTTCCTTTGATGTGCAGAAGGTGTTCACCAGGTATCTTCAACCAAACAACAGGAGGAGAACGATTGTAACGGAGTTCACGGCAATTAATGGCACTGTAGGGGGAAAAAAAAAAGAAGAAATTGTGAAAGTTTTCTCTTCCACTTCACAAAGTGACAGAACTTCACGTTATCTTGTGGGATAACCTTGTAAGGTGCAAAATTAACCAAAATTTTAAAAAACACTGAATTTTCCTATGCAAAAAATCACAGGTAGTGGAAGGAGACAGGAGTATAGCCTAGGACACTTAAAAATTAACAGCATAAAAATCTGTACACAGCCCAGCATGTTTCAACTTATTTTAATGTTTCAACTTTTTTTAATGTTTCAAATGAAATGAAACTTTCTCAAAGTCAGTTTCTACCCTTGGCTTTGCTGGGATTTAGAAGAAATGCACCAGTTCTTAACTCCCTGGTGGGCAAGACTCACCAGATTTGTTACTTCCTCTCTATCATCACCTAGAAAACCTATTTTTGGTGTGCTTTATAGTGAAAAAAAATCAGCAACTTAAAAATCTTTTGTTTTTCCCCATCCTTTGAAGCATGCAAGCCTGGCTTACCTTTTAGAACCCCAGGCATTACATTTCCCTCACCAGGTACTTCACAAAAAAATTTCACTTTAGCCAAGCTGAAGCCAATTGCACGCTCTGATTGACCACCAAGGTTCGCCCCAGCTCCCAAATTTTGAAGGAAGATGCAACAGCAGCACCACAAGCCAGAGGCAGAGAATACTTTAGACTTTATCAAAATGAGGACACCTTAGCTGGGACCTGCACCCTCCTACACAGAGTCCATGTGTGAAGGAAGGACAGATTGGAAATGATGAGGAGAAATAGCAGCTGTTTGGTGTAAGAGTCAAAAATACTGATGTTAATTCATTAAGCATGGAGACAAAACTTCACAGACAGCAGCATTCAAACAAAGGACCACCACCTTACCTCTCATAACGGTCCGTACAGATCGAATCAGGTTCGTGAGCTGTGCTTTGATTCCTGGCTCCTCTCCAAAGCCTCCAATCCCTTGATCGCTTCCCCAGCCAACTGTGTCACATAAAAACAGCCAGATGTGTTAAAAAAATAACCTCACAACAAAACCATGCAACAAATGCTACCAGTGATACTAATGAGACATCCAGCTTGATTATTAGGGCCAGAAAAATGCTGCGAGGGGGGAACCCCTCTGCTGGGAGCCCAGCAGGAGAGAGTTGGGCTGGGGCAGCCACAGAGGAGAAGGCTCCAGCCGGGAAGAGCCGCT